TGGACTCAATGGCCTTATAGGACCCTTTCTACTCAATTATTCTATTATTCTAATGAGCAACTCAGTCTACTGCAGCTTTCTACGTTCTTAAAATGCAGGCACATGAATCTCTCTTCCTTTGCTGTGTTTTACTTTTGCATTAAATTGCCAGTGATTCTAACCCCCAGCTTTCTCATGATAACCTATGCGTTGTTTTTTTTTTAAAAAGCCCTCTACCAAAATAACATACATGATCACACATAGTTTTTACATACATTATTTCTTTTCTCCTAACCAATACGTAGGAGTATATATACATTGAGGGGTGGAAGTAAGGAACATATGCATGAAAAAAGAGACCAGGTGCTTGATATCAACTCAACTCCAGTGCAAATCCTTAGGCACAGCAGGCCTCAAATAGAGAAAGATACAGATTAGGCTATGGAGGAATTATAATATGAGTGGACAACCTTCTTGATTCTGGGGGTGGAATGACAGCAGTCAGTTTGTTCAGCACCATGTTTGGTGCAATTTCCTCAGATCTGCTCAGATCTCACAAAAATGGAATACCTGCTGCTTTGTGAGGCTAGTAAGTAACACTTTCTAGTTCAGTGGTCCCCAACCTTGGGCCTCCCTCCAGATGTTCTTGGACATCAGCTCCCAGAAATCCTGGCCAGCTGAGGTGGTGGTGAAGGCTTCTGGGAGTTGTAGTCCAAGAACATCTGGAGGCCCCAAGGTTGGGGACCACTGCTCTAGATCCCTGTTTATCACCTTATCTGTTGAAATGAAAACGTAGCAGGATGGTTGAAAAAGTAAATGTTAACTCTCAAGAGCAGCGGACTATGCAATGCCCAGCAAAAGTGTAGAGGCAGTTGAAGACCTTGTCATGACATCTCCAGTTCATGGACTTTTCATAATGCACATTTGAGGAAAGGGGGGAAGTACCACAACAAGATTTAAATTGCACATCTTTTTAAGAAGTCCCGACTTTTGGAATCAATGCTCTGATGCACTTGGATGGATTCAAATTAAGAACCTCAACCCTGATGCACACAAGATGCATAAATTCTATCTGAAGTGTTGCTACATGGCAAATGGCAGGGCACTAAGGAGAAGATCAAGATGTCCCAACAGTGAAATGACCGAAAATACCTCAAGCATAAATCTGACCTTGTTGCCTTGTTAGCTTCCCCCAAAAGGTTCTTTCCCCAGTTTTCGGTTGGGTTCACCTTGAATGCTGAACACATTCTCAAAACATTTGCATGAATATCTGAACCTATTTTTGTACAACTGCATTTTGGCACTCAATAGCTGAAATCCAGTAGTGAGCTTCAACTAGAGTAAGCCCATTGAATCAGGGAGAATTTAGTGAGTCAACTCCTTTATTAAGTTCCTTCAATGGGCCTACTCTAGTTGCAACGTACGACTACACATTAGACAACCAATTTTGTCTAATGTGCATGCTTTAAAAGCAATTTTCCAAATACATTACATTTTGGAATGTTATCTTTTCAAATGTGAACACTTTTTTTGCAAATATTTTCTCCCAATATACAGTATATGGTGATGCACCTTTTGATGGGAGAAGTGCACAATTTGAAGACAACAACATTTCAAAGGACAACAGATGTTCAGTTTGCCTATGTATTCAAAAATGCCAAATTAAAATGAAAACCAATGGTTTCTTCAAGATCACTAGCTCAACAGGAATGGGTCATCAGCTGATGCAACGAGGATGAAGACAGACTCTGTTTCTCAGTTTGCCATCCTTGCTATGAAAAACCACCACTTCTACATTTCAAGCTTGAAAGGTAAGAGAATATGGAAGAGGCCTGTGTTCTTATTCTTCCTATGTACTGAAACAATCTTCTGCCTCGGGATAATAGAGTAGTCCAGGCAAAAATAAAGGAAACCTGTTTTTCAACCAAAGATCTATCTCTAGGAGCCATGGTTGGAAAGATGACTTTTCGGAGCTGCATGTTCCTGAACCCTCTAGCCAATAACTCCAAGAACCCCCTGACCATGGTGGAAACTTTAGTACAATATATGCAACCTTTCCCATCTCTATTTGTGGGCTTTGTCAGTTTCAACCAAGATTCCAACTGATCATGTCACGGCTTTGAAAATCTTGACCACTCATTTTATGAGGCTGTGTCAGCTTAGAACCGAACTTGGGAAAGTGACTTCTTTGTACTAGAATGGCTAGTATTCCTCTCAGATGGCCATGCTCCCTGCAGGGAGTTGTAGGTCAAACAACTATTTTTTTTCCTACTCCTGATGGGCAATGCAGATAGAATCATGAACTGAACCATACATTTTGCAAACTGTGTACCTGCAGTATGCAAAAATGCAAACTGGCCGATCAGACATATTTTCAGAAAGCTGAGACATGTTAGGGATAGGGGATTGGTGAATTTATTTAAAAAAATATGAATGTGTGCAAAAGCAATGGGACCTTTTTAGCTCAGCATCACAGGGCCAGGTGATTATTATTCATCAACTGGTCAGAGAGAGCTGTGCATGCAGATGACTCATTCAGACATTCTATGTACACATGAACAGGCAGGGCCAGACCATGGATAGGAGTGGGAGGTAGGGATAAGCTATGTATGCATCCTTCCCTCCATGTGTGAGGACTATTTTACTTGTGATTTTTTCTACATTGGTAGGGAAAGGGCTAGATGACCCTTGGAGGTTTATTCCAATTTATATTTCTGTAGTTCTAGCATGAGCAGAATCAGGGGAGCAATACTGTCTGACACAGCCCAAACAGAGGGTGGAAAACATAACAGGTGCCCATAGTAACATGGGGAATCACTCTCAATACTGAACTTCTATAGAGCTGCTAACCTAGGGGTCCCAGGTTGATGGCTGCACATATTGGCCTTGGAGAAACCATACTGACCATCACCGGGCAAGAGCAGTAGTAGAAGCAAGGCCAAAAGTTGTAATCAAACCAAGCTAATGGAGTTGTCTATTTCGGAATGTAAAAGATTACAGGAAAATGTAATAAGGCAAAGCTCTCTGTAATAGAATCCTCATTTTGTGTGTGTGCGTGTGTGTGTTCTGTTAGTGGCGTCCCTGAGCAGATGGTTGTGCTAGCTCATTGCCAATGCTTTCTAAACAGCCGCTGCATGCTGGATCGGTAAGTCACTGCTGCACATGGAACAGCGTCAGCTTTGACAAAAAAGCACAGACGGCTGCAATGCCGAGACAATTGGAGTCCATTAGCATATAACAACATTATCAACACAAAGAACTGCCACTGCGGCATTTGGCGGGCACCCATCGCTGGCTTCATCTGCTCAGCCTGGGGACAGAGCTAAGACGTCTGTGGAGCGCTTGTTGCATTCTAGCAGAGGGCAGCATGGATTCTATATTCACACCATACTAGTATAGACAAGAAGAATCTGTGAACCATTCTTTGATTACGAAACTTGGCAAAACTTATCTCCTGGACTACAACCCCCAGAATCTCTTATTCAGCAGTGTGCTTGGCCATGCTGAGTGGGAGATATTAGGAGTGTGGGTCAAAATAATCATTCCCCCCAGTTTTCATTCAGCATATTTCACAACCATCGTGATAAAACAGGTAACAAACCGAATGACTGGATGCTCAGCTCCTCCAGCTAACAGAGGGACCTTAAAATGGCCAGGGATGTTTCGAGAAGCAACATTAGGAGTTGCCTGAGCTACAACCAGGAGCTCATATGATCTCCACTCGGCCTCATGTGGGTGAGTAGAGTCACTGGCAACTGCCATCTCTAGCACACTCTGGGTGGTAACATGTTCCTGAGATCACTATATCCAGCCTCTCCATGCATGTATCACGGGCACTCCATATCCAACAGTGCCATTTACCTACGATACCACATAAACATTCATATTTGCTGCTGCTGTTATACACATATTTGCCCGCAGTGTATGTAGAGGTTGCCAGATATCTATATTGTCCGGTCTTGGTTAAACTGAAACTTTCTTTGAATCACAACAGTCACACTTGTCCATTATTTGTTTGATGGCTCCTCTCTGTCAAACCTTACTGAGGAACTGTAAATGACTTGGGCTTCCTCTCCTAACTCTCGGTCTGACCAAAAAAAGACACATGGGTAGTCCCGTGATGGAAAGATACATGTTGTCTTCCCACATTTGTGAAAAATGTATTTCCCATTTTGGACTAGACTGGAGTAAATATACTTTATGTTTCTCTCTCTCTCTCTCTCTCTCTCTCTCTCTGCATTTCTAGGGCATCTGAAGGAAGACCTGATGGTACCCCTAGCCTAACTTTTGACACGGCCATTCATTCTTGGAGTTCCTCATAGTCTTGTGTCTTCTCAGCACCATAGCGATACCATCCCACAACGGTTAATAAAATTAAGATTCACAAACAAAGAGACTGTCTCAATGGAGATAACTTTCTAAGGTGCTAATTGGAATTAGAGCACAGAGTCTCCTGTGGTGTAAGGCCATTGTTAAGCACTTCATAGCCTTGATACAAAGTCATCTACTCCCTTTTGCCATTTTTGTTGTTCCAGGAGTATGGTAGTTGTGGTCAAATCCTGCCCAATATCATGCAGCAGTTCCTCTATTTCAGTTTATTTCTTAGGATATCGTATCTCTTCCCAGATGTCTTCTCTGACCTCTGTGAGGCCTACAGTCCTGAAGAGAAGTCTGCACTGTGCTTCAAGCCTGCCTGCTATTTCCATCTTAGCATGACATTTTCATCCATAAATTTTTATTTTCCTCACACAACCACACTGCGATTTCCTCCAATTGATGTTCTCAGATAGCTTCATTCCTTGTGAGAACTCCAGACATTTCTATTCACATCTGGCATTTAGGATAGATGCCACATCTAGGCAATGTTTCAGTCAGCCTCAGCTACTAACCAGCTTTTCTGAATGAAATTTTTCTACATGGTTGGTGAGGAAAAGCAATCACAGGCAGATATTTTGAGGGTGCGCAACACAATGCACACCCAACATCAGCAACATGCGATAGTCCCTTCCATATGGTCTTACCTGTACTGAGTGACGGCAGGATTGGCCTTAGCAGAGCAGTGAAACTTGACGGTGTTGTCTTCAAGGACAGGCTGAGGTTCTACTGACAGATTGACGAGAGGTGGATCTGTAAAGAGACAACAGCCAATCCATTAACTATATCACCTCTGTGTCTAGAATTGTATCGTGCTGCAGTGTTCCTTCCATTTCTTGTGGCGTTGCAGTGATGGATGGTAGGAAAAATCTCCTGACCCTCTGCAGATGATCAGGAAAAGCACTTAATTGACAGCTGACGGGGTTACAAGGGGTTGTTTGCTGTTTGGATGGGAGAAGCATGCCAAATGGCACATTGCTCTTCTCCCTCAACCTCAACAGATCTTCTGTAGCCCAGTCCACCCGATGCCCAAACCAGTCAGTCTGAACAAGCCCTTAGTTTCAAAGTCCTGAACAGGACCATTTGGAGGTCATTAATTCACAGGCCCCCCCACAAATCAGGGACTAGATAAAAGCCATAACAGAATGGAACATGGTAGAGCTGGCACCAGCAAGTAAAAACTGATTCCAAAACTAGCACAGACACAATCAGAACAATATTTTAGCAATCAAACCCATCAAATATCACTGGTTCATGAATTATTTTTATTCAATTTAAAAAAAAACATAGGGAGTGCTCAAACATACAAGCCCCATGCCTTCCACCTGCAGCATAAGGTGGTACAGTCCTGGCAGAGTTTTATCATCCCTCTGGCAAGTTGGTAGGCTAGAATTAGCATCTGGCTTAGCAAGCAGTTACTTACATATAGGGTCATATGCACTCATTAGCTACGTAGCATATCTGGCATCAATAAGCAAGCTCTGAATTGTTAGCAGATGGGTGTTGTTTACAGGAAAGGTGCCTTGAACAGTTCCAGTGGGGATTTCCTTCATTTGTAAACCAGTTACCAATTGCTTGAAATTATAACCCTTCAGCCATTTTGGACAGTTGTTGGAGGGAAAAAAAAAACCCTCCCAAACAAATCTGTTCTGCTGGTGCAAAGGGGATTAATTCCTGTGTGGCAAATTAAGTTGTCACAGAGAAAATTTGAAACAGGAGCCTTCTGTCATTGAACAGATCTGTTCCCTCTCGTGTGGCTGAGCCAAATTGGCTCAACTTCCCGACTGTGTTCTGGCTGACACAATTGCTGAAGGCGGGTACTCCATTATGTTCTATTTGGCACCTTGTGCCATCAGAGATAGCATCCATGTGCCCTGCTGGTGGGCAGGTTGGGAAGAGTCAACACAAACAACTCCCTCCTCGGAGCAAATCAAACATATGCACCAACAAACCAAACCAAACCGACCCTTAGCCTCAAATCTCTTGGTCCTGTGATGAGCCATTGGTGAGCAGGGTTCTTAGGCAATTGTGTGAGACAATCTGTCCTGCTGGATACCTGATGCAGTCGCACACCTGCTCATAAGACAGATAGCAAGCAATGAAGGGAAAACAGCTGTGCAGCTGTGCTGAGGTACAGCTGTGCATTTTCTTCAGTTGGGTTTTGGCTACAGTTTTCCATTCCTTTAGGCCAGTGGTCCCCAACCTTGGGCTTCCAGATGTTCTTGGACTACAACTCCCAGAAGCCTTCACCACCACCTCTGCTGGCTAGGATTTCTGGGAGTTGAAGTCCAAGAACCTCTGGAGGCCCAAGGTTGGGGGACCACTGCTTTAGGCCATTATAGAAAGGATACTAATATCAAGTCTAAGATGGTGTCACAGGAGGCTCTTCCCAAAACATGGACTGGAGGAGTGAAGATGGAGATGTAGAAGCCAGGCTGACGCTACACCATGGAGCAAAATATGGTAGGAGGAGACATCTGACTCAGAAGCAAGCAGCAGAATCAGTGCTGGAGTTCAGCACTGCCCCGAACCTGGAATCTAGAGTTTCATCTGTGATAGAGCAGAATCTGCAAGAGCCCTCTGCAGACTTTTGCTCCGTCAAAAATCTTAACGCAGTTTTGAAATGCAGACTCTCTGGCCATTGAGGCAAAGGCAACGGATTGCCCCAGCTCCTTGCCTTCCAGCATCAGCGTTAGGATCAAAGAAACAGGAAATGGTGCACCGAGAGCCCCTGGTTCAACAGAGATGCAAATAAAGCAAAAGAGGTTCTCAAGCTAGGAATATCCATTAACTAAATCTTAACCGACCCCCAGATAAAAGTGGATGGTTAACCACCCTCTATTTAATATGGGTGTAATATTAGAAGAAGACAGAGTGGCCGTAAATCCCTTTTAAGGAGATGAATTTCATCCTTTGCATTGTTATCATTTAATGCTGCACAGTGCAAGGGTTGGGGGGCGGGAATCTCCTCATCTGAAAGTGGCATTTCTTCTCTTTCACCACTCTAACCATCTCTGCCAAGCTGTTGTTGGTGTCATCGGCCTTTTAGCTGTCAAGACTCCTGCTTCCACCCCGCCTTTCTCTCTCTCTCTCTCTCTCTCTCTCTTTTTAAAACACACAGATAAAAATGACAGCCGCATTTAAGATAGTGCAAAAAGAAGGAGCAAAAAGATAAAAGATGTGTGGGGAGGGAAAAAAAAGAAAAGAAGAATGGCCAAATAAGTTGTGTTCTTTTAGGCCTAAATCCTATTGATAGTCCCATCTAGAGGAGACTCATTGAGTCCAGGGGATTTACATATGTGTTGACTCACTATTCAGCAAACGATTCAGTGGATAGACTCTAGCTGAAACTACCATTTTTTTAGGGATGAGGACTCAAGTTGCAGGACTTGCTGGCAAGCTGGACTTGTCTCAGCTGTGACTCAACTCAGACTTGACCTGGGTTATTTTTTTCAATGACTTGGACTCAACTCATGAATTGGAACCGAGTTGGAAAAAAGCCTATTTTTTTTCTAATAAGGAATCAGACTTGGGGCTTTGGACTTGGGACTTGGTATTGAAGACTTAAGAGTCAGACTTGGGACTCAGACTCAAAGACTTGCCAACATCCCTGGCTTTTGGAGTCAGGCCTTAGAGTCAGACTTGGGACTCAGACTCAAAGACGTGCCAACCTCCCTACCCTTTGGAGTCAGGCATTAGTTATTAGTCTACAAGGAAGCTTAGGTTTGAGAGGGGCCAACTGCATTGTGTAACTCGATTTTAGCTGGATTAAATTTAAGCTTGTTTACTCTAATCCATGTTTCTAGACAACTGACCAGAATTTCTACCTCTGTTTTGCCTCACTTTAGAGCAGGGGTCTCAAACTGTGGCCCTCCCGATGTTCTTAGCCTACAGCTCCCAGAAGCCTTCAGCACCACCTCTGCTGGCCAGGATTTCTGGGAGTTGAAGTCCAAGAACATCTGGAGGGCCACAGTTTGAGACCCCTGCTTTAGAGGCACCGAAAATGGCCGCCGCAATGGAGGATTTTCGCATAAGGTTAGTTTTGAAGCCCATAGTAACACATTAAATGCATTTTAATGCATTTCTATGGGCTTTTAAAAATTGCTTGGCAGCGATTTTTGCTGCACCAATTAACATCGCTAAGCGAGGCACCACTGTATTAGTGTACAAGGAAGCTTAGGCTTGAGACCATGGAGTGCAGCTAAGGGTTCCTTGCTCATTGCTTTTGTACACAAAAAGGAGCATCAACAGAACTTTTCAAGGTTACTTTGAGGAAACATGCAAGTGTCACTTTGTCTACACAACAGTTATGGTGAACCAGCCATCGTTTCTTAGTGTTTACATTCAGTATATAAGAGGTCTTGGTTCTTTTTTTTTTACTCAAAAGTAAAAGTAAGGCTTTTAGGCTTTCAACTCTTACACCGTGGCTCCCCATTCTAGATGCTTCCATTTGTTCTTTGCTTCTTATTCTTTCATTTGATCCTTGTTCTCTTCCCATGTGAAATGAGCCCATCCTATTCTGCAAACTTTTAGTAAACAGAATTTTTGCAGCAAGTGCTACCCACTCCTACTGTTTGTTGATTGGTTTATATCTTGGTCTTTGTACTGTATCCTTTGTCTCCAAGATTCCTGGTGGTCAATTAGCAATAATTCTTTTTCTGGCTTTTAACGGTTACTTTGTCAGTTGGGTTTATTGCTTCTTTTATTATAGTGTTGCTTTTTAAATAGATTTGTCCTGAAAACCACATTTTGTAGAAGAATGGGGTAGAATGTTTAGGAATCAAATGGAAATACATAAGGACATTCTCCTAAATACTGGATCATTAAAAAAAATGCTTCTCTAACACAATCCTAAGCACAATCCTATCATGTTTACAGTGGGGTCTCTACTTAAGAACGTCCCTACTTAAGAACAATCCAACTTAAGAACAGCTCCATTTGCTAAATTTTGCTTCTACTTGAGTACAGAAATCCAAGATAAGAACAGGAAAAAAAACCTTTCCTGCTCTTTTTTTAACCTTAGGTCATCTTAGGTTAAAAAAAATTCTCCCCCTAGTGGTAGAGTACGTATTAACCAGCTTTGCATTAGTTCCTATGGGAACTAATCCTTCAATGTACGAACGCACCTCTACATAACAAAAAAACAGCCAGAACGGATTAATTGGTTCTCAGTCCATTCCTATGGGAAATTTTGCTTCAACATAAGAACTTTTCAACTTGAGAACCACCTTCCAATATGGATTAAGTTCTTAAGTAGAGACCCCACTGTACTTGGAAATGAGAGCCAGTATGGTCCTGTGAGTTTACACTCAGAAAAGGATGCCTAAGGCTGCAATCTAAGCATCTTCTAGCTAGATGCAGGGCTAATATAAACCAGTATTCACAGAAAATAAACTGTTTTTTAAATAAACACAGCAGGGGCCAACTGCAATAAGGAAATTTAAAATTACCTTAGAGGTCATCTCTTTTGCTTTTCCTAATTTATCTCTTTCTTAGCTAGATGAACATTCACACAATGACTTCATTTTCTCTGTCCATTATTCTGAATGGCTACTGTCTCCTGGGCAGGTGGCTAGCTATAACATCTCATTCTGATTTATCACCTTATGTGCTTTGTTTAAAAAAGGGGTTATTTTAAATCAAAATGGGCTAGACCCCTCCTGGGATTTGACTTTGGAGTAAGTGAAACCACCTAAATTGTGGGAGCAAATTGCAGCTGATTAATGAGGTGCCAGTTGCAAGTAGATACACAA